ACTGCAGTTGTGCTCAACCTAAAGTTTACTCGCGTCCACGCAATCGCCCCTACACACAGAAAATATTAGTTGAGTACCACCGTGTGCGCAGAAGTGTAAAAATGATTCTACTGCGTCACTCCGTGCGATGCGGCAACGCTGCTTTTTCGCTCCGCGACTTTGTGTTGTGTTAGTAAGGTTATGGACACTAAATAATGTCGAATCCACGGAATAAAAGCGGACGCTTTATTAGTAATACGACGCGACGTTGCCAAGTCGTCAATACCTCTCGCCTTCGCTACTGCCGCCGGTCGAAAAAATAGCCGAGCTACTTACTTTGTTAAATGATTTCTTAAATATAAATACCGGAAGGCATATTCAGGAAAATTTCATATTATTCCTTGTAATATCAAGTTTTATGTTTCTTTGTTTCAAAAAATTCTAAAGAAAACTTTGTTTACAGTGAATAAAAAACCACTTTCGAATAAGCTTTAGATAGGGATTCTATATTAAACGTTTCAACTTTGAATATCTCGATTTTTAATCCCGCAACGAGTACTGAGCTTCAAAATATATGTTCAGAACTGTAAAACAAGCTTTTTCTGTAAGTTTCAGAAAAATCTAAAGAAAATGGATTTTTCGGAGAACGTCCTTAAATCTCGACGAACAGAGAGCGAGTGAAAAAAGGCTTTTTCCGGTGTGGTGTTTATTTTTTTCTACTAAACTAATAGACCGATCTTAATGTTACACATCTCATTTTGTATGTATTTCGAATACCTACATTTTTCATTCGGAACTTCTTTCCATACAATCAACAGCTTTCGTTTTATAAGCGAAAAAGCTGCTTTTTGCATCTTTTCGAATTTTTTCGCATATTTTCCACACGGGTTGCGAGTCTCAAACGTATACATTCCTTTTCTGATGGCCTTCCGAACATTTCTGTCGAGAGAGATGCCTGTTTACAATTTTTCTGCGAAACGGGTCTTTTTGAGTCTAATTATACTGGACTAAGATTGTTGTGACTAAGCGGTAGCGCACGGAGCTTATGTTTGAGCTCAATATCTCGGCTAAGGAGCAAGGTAACTTTGTGGACCGAAAATTGTGCTTCTCCCCATGGATTCGTGTACAATGGACATATCATTATTCTTGAATTAAGGAGTACTACCATAGGGAGAAAATATGTATTATGGTAGAATTTCATATTGTTCTGAGGATAGCTAAAATCAATAGCCAAAACGTCAATGAATTATATATTATTTGTATATCACACACATATTAAATAAATTTAGAAAGAATTTGCGCACCACTTACAGCGTTGATTCCACATTAGCTCTTTTGTAATTAATTTTTTATTTGCAACTATAGGAGTCTAATTACTTAATTAATTTTAGTATATTGTTTACTTTTTTTTAAATATTTTACTTCAAATTGGTATCCATGATAATTTAAGAAATAGATTTGACGGAATAATTAAAAAAAGAACAGATTTTACATTGTCTGTATTATAATT